GAAAGGCGGGATCATAAATGTTTCCGGAATTGAAACTATTTTCACAATTTTTCCCTTCCTAAAATTCATAATTAAGATGTATTAAACGAAATTATTAATTATTTATAAAATTAAATATATTATTAAAATACCTGGAAACTTCTATTTATGGGAAACTCTTTTAGGGAATTCTCCAGTTTTTGAGAATCCAATAGGTCCAGTACATTTGTCATGTTAAATTGTTGCCATAAAGACAATCCTGCTTGAGTTTTTATACTGTAATGGGATACGGCAGCTTCACCCCAAACAAGAGGTTCATATTGATTAAATTTGAAACCATTTTTTTCGTAGAAAGTTAAAATTTTTAAAATTTCAAGGTCCACGAAAGAAATACTTGCTGTATATGATGCGAGCAGGACGGGAACATGTTTTACCGACATTTTGTCCGTACATCTTTGAATAAGCGTAAAATATAAATACACCAATTCTTTTTTTAAATCCGACGATCCGAGAAAAACGGTCAAGAATTGAGAATGTGAAATAACCATTTCGAAAAAAAGAGCAACAACTTTATCGTTGTCTTCGACTTGGTAAAAATTTTTTATTAAACACTCGACTATTTTAAGTAAAAAGGGATGCTTTGAAGTATCCAAGCAAAATCTAAAAAAAAAAAAAAATTTTTAATTCAAAAATAATTATAATTTTAATTTCATTAATTAAACTTTACCAACCTTATGGTGGTTTTAAAAAATTTATTCCACTCTGGGGAACCTTTTATAGGTTTCCAATTACAATTATTAAATTGTTTTAAGACTTCAACAATGATGTGGTAATTTTTTTCCCATAATTTTTCATCGTGATTTTGTGAATTATTAATTAATGATTGAGTTAACATTATTAAAATTCCCTTTATAAAAATAATAACAAATTCTTCATCGTTGTTTTTTTTAACAATTTCAAACAATAATTCTATTTGAAAATTACCAGAGAGTAAATTTTTTTTCAAATCTTCCAACAATTTTTCATCTGAAATTAAATATAAATTAAGAAATAAAATTTTTTTTTTTTTGTTTTTATTATTTAAATCATTAATTGTTATTCACAAAAATTTATATCAATTTTCATGAAAATTTATGATTTAAGAGGTCTACATATTATTTTAAGTACTATTTATACTAACCTGTGAAACGTCTAATCAATTCTTTACTAAAACCAATATGATTTAGAATATTACATTCGTTGGATCCCTTCAATGCATTTATAATATTATTTTCATTATGTTTGTATATTTTTTCAAGTAAGTTCAACACTTCCGAAGAAACATTATTGTTTTCACTTGAAGTTGCGAATAAAGGTGCAGAAAGT